TAAAAAAACAAAAGTGCAACGTTTAAATGAATCGTGATAGTACGCGTTTAAGAATGCATTCGCTAGTGAGTATTTGTGCGGTAAACATGGGTCTTCCGGTTGAAAAACGAAAGATTCATGCATCTAATCAATTAAATTTTGGTGGATTTACATACAATCAACATTCTCGATTAAAAAATTCCCAAAACACCTGGTAAGTATTCTCAATAAATATTTATTGTCTAACAATTTATTGTCTGTGTCTGAACAATAATTTTTCTTTCTTTCAGTATAAGTAAGTGTTGATTATAATTTTTTCTTAAAGTTTACTTATTTTGTGAAAAGTGTGTTTTAGGTATGTAGAGTGTAATAAAAAAAAAAAAAAAAAACAGAAGAGGAGACGAGAATGAAGAAGGATGTAAGGTTGCTGGCTATGTACTGTAGTACTGTACCCTTCTGACGGCGGTCCACCACAGTTTACTTTGAGTAAAAATAAAAAAAAAAGGATCCATAATCATCCAAAGTTTGAAGAAGTAGCTCAAGTGCAAAAATTAAAAGTTGCACTAAAAGAATCTGCGAAAAACTTCCCAGTAGGAGCGCAGAAAAGCTTGGCATTCCAGGCACTGATTCCTAAGTACGTAATTTTTATTAACCTTTACGATGATCTGTCTATTCTTTCATGAAATTTCCCGGGCTTTTTATTTCCTTAATTATTTATTTCCTAAAATATAAAATTTTGATGATTTAATTGAAGTTAATTTGATAGTTTACTTGATACTATTTCTTTATTTCTCATTTACCATCTCTTATCCACATTTACTCATAAGCGTTTTCGAATACTTTACTAATTTATCAGTAATTCCATATAAACTATGTTTCAACTATAAATCAAACTGTTATAAAAATGTATTTTTTGTTGCGTAACGTTAGTTTAGTTTTTCTGTTGATTCACTTCCAGGAACTTTATTGGAGCTGTGAAGGCGCCTTATGTTAAAACTCGGAGTCAGTTTACTCGAGATGTCCTCAAAAATATTCCTGAAAATCCAAAAACTGTTCAGGCATACGGTGACTTTCTTGCGACTCCAGAGGGAAGAAAACAATTGGTGTATATAATTCAAGAGAACGCATTAGCACCACTTACCAATTGTCAGATTGAATGTGCATAGATTGGAGATGGAATTCAAAAATGTCTCGTATTTTATAGTCCTGGCATTATCAATTCTATTGAAAAAATCCCCAATGCATGTCGACGGCACATTTCGGATGAAACCGAATTTCATCAAAGGAAATAATTTTAAGCCTTATCAGCTTCTAATTATTTCTGGAAAATTTAAAAATAAGGTAACAATTATAGTAAGTAAATTATTTAAGCTAATACTATCGATATTGCAAGAGAAATGTGGAAGTCAGTCTCATTTGATTTACAAAGCAAATTTATTAACGTTACGCTATGCAGGTGAAGAAAGAGAGACAGATAATTTTAGATAGTTTTTTATTAATTATTTCAATACAATTTTCTGAATCAATATTTGTTATTTTATTAAAAATATTGAACATGTATTTTTCCCTCATTGTCTCAATTTTTCTTGAAATTTAATCGGTACTTTACCATTGGCTCCAGCAACGGAGATGAATAGACTATTTATAAACATAATAAATAAAGCATCACCGGAACTGTCTTTGGTGCTCAATGATATGTTTGCGTATGGTTACGAACAGTGGTTCGTAAATATCGGGGCCGAAAAGTTGTCAGTATTTGGTAAGACAAAGCTGCGTACAAATAATTCATCTGAGTCAATTAATCGTGACATTAATCGCTTTCTCGGCCATATAAAAAAACTGAAAGCAATGGAATTCACAAGTATGCAATTACAAATTTTACTATATTTTATACAATTAAACAAAGAATTATCATTAATTAATATTGATTACTATAATAATTTGCTATTTTAAAAAACAACAAAATTTTAGATATTAATTGTTGAAATTAAAATTTTTTCTGTTTTTTTTTTTTTTTCTTAGGAGTGCTTGTTCAGTCAGTGATAAAGTCTCACCATCAGATTATAAGCCTGTCAGATAACCAAAAAATTAGTTTCAACAAGATGCCCATAAAACCTATTACATATGATTCGAAAATTAACAGCTTGTGGAGTGACTTGAAGGCCAGCATAATTACAGTAAAAATTTTTTTTGAAAAGTCTTCGATCTTAATGACGAAAGCTCATTTGAGGAAAAATATTGTAAAATTAAGTATGTTGAATTCTGGGAAAATGAAAACAAATAACTTTTATATTATTACGATTCTAACATTTTTGACAAATTCAATTCTTATTTTAAGGTTCAAATTCGAATCTCACGTGGCCTGCAACAAAAGCTGCCGTATGGATTTGGAGGCATATCAGTAAAAGTCCTAGTTTGAAGCAATACCTTGATGGTCCACAGTTTTTGTCACCTCAACTACAGAAGGAGCTATTACCTATTGCGAGAGATCATATGAAAATGGGTACGTTGACAAGTCCATCGTAAAAACATTCAAAATAGCTACCTAGGGTATCAAAAATATATTTATTTATTTATTAATTTTTTTTTATTTCAGTCATTAAAAAGGCGGGCCGAATTTTATTGAATAATCTAGTCGGGATTAAAATTATGCGAGGTGATGGTTAAATGCAGTAATATTATATTTTTAACTATTCAAAAAGCAGGTGAAGACTACCGTTTAAAATACCATATAAATTTTCTTTTAATTGATAGTTTTATCTATGTATATCTTAACCTATGTACAAGCATTAATAAATGTGTCTGAAAAGAAAATAGTTACATATGTAAACTTATTGTTTTGGAAATTTTTTTTCTAATTTTAGTTCTATCCTTATGTTCTAATAGATACGGTTCATATATTACTGTGTTCACATTTTGTTATCGAGGCTATTGTAAGCGTGAAAAAAATTTCCTAATTTTTAGTCGCGTTTCGCAAATTTCTAGGAGTAATTAATTGAGAAAGAATAGAAGTGAGAAGCTTAAAAATCATTCCACTACACTTTATTAGTTGGGAATTTGCGCAGCGCAAATTTCCCAATGTACTTATAAAATAAAATAAACAGATTATTTTAAGTTTAAAATAATTTTACTGGGAAATTTGCGCTGCGCAAATTCCCAAAAGTAATTAATTGACTAAGAGAAGGATTAAGAAATGTAGATATTATTGTACAACAATTTATTGGCTGGGAATTTGCGCAGCGCAAATTCCCCAATATACTTATAAAATAAAATAAACAAATTATTTTGAGGTTAAAATAATTTTACTGGGAAATTTGCGCTGCGCCAATTCCCAAAAGTAATTAATTGACTAAGACAAGGGTTGAGAAATTTAGAAATTACTGTACAACAATTTATTGGCTGGGAATTTGCGCAGCGCAAATTCCCAGAAGTAATTAATTGACTAAGACAAGGGTTGAGAAATGTAGAAATTACTGTACAACAATTTATTGGCTGGAAATTTGCGCTACGCAAATTCTCCAGTGCAATTATTTTCATCTCAGATATAAACTTACATCATATACCGATTTTCAGCTGGGAAGATGAGCTGCGCAAATCTCCCAATGAAACAGTTTAAAGTTCAGAGTGAGTTTCTAATGAGTATTTTAATTAGTTTATTATTTTATTGTTTACTCAGCTTAAATTTTTTAAATTTGAATTTTTCTCTGTTGTATCATCAGCTGACATACAGGATACCTAGATTATACCGCGGAACATCAGTGCACCAACCTAAAAAAACTCTCCGAAAAATACCCACTGGGCATATGCGACAGATCCCATTAAACAAAGATTAATATATAATTGTTGTAAAGCGGCATGTTGGCCGAGCGGACTAAGTCATTATCCCGTTAGTTCGTTCGCACATCATGCCGTGAGGTGAGGGTTCGAGCCCCGACGGTTGTTCGAATAGTTCCAACACCAACCGTCGGGGGTCGCTCCGGTAGCCGAACTATACTGACATGGGTTTTCTCTGTGGTTTCCCCACCGCCACTATTTCAACAACCGATCGAAAGGGGTGAGGAATAGGGTGAGTACAGTACAGAAAGCACAAGTCGGTCCACAGCTGCATTGAGAATAACGTTATTTGCGAAAACTCGTATGTGTAAAGAAAGACGTTGATAATATGTATGGAAAAGACGTTTATAATATGTGTGTGTTGATAATAATGTAGTGAAAACGGATGGCTGGGGTCCAATAAGTCAGTATACCCACAAGACGGCAGCACAGTCGCTAGCGACAGCTACCATCTACTCAGTCTTGTAAAAATATGCCCAATATATACAAGTAAAATGGAGATAATATTGTATAATTGTTGTATGCTAATACATAAAGTCATATTAAATAAAAAACCTGAATATTTGTATAAAGAAATTGTAAAAACTGAAAATAAGCACAGATATAAAACGAGAAATTGTTCTTCTATCGACGTAATATCTACTCGTACACACTCAGCAGAAAAATGTATAACTTACAGAGGCTTTAACTATTATAGTAAATTACCAGACGATATAAGATTAGAAAATAGATTAAAAAGCTTTAAACGACTACTAAAGGACTATGTTAAAAATACGTATTGACAAAAAAAAACATTTACTTGATTGAGCATGCTATATTTGTTGTAATCTGTAAACTGTTTTTGAAAAATTTTCTTATAATGTAAAAATTGAATAGCAAATTGCTAGTAAATAAAGATTATTATTTATTTATTTATTTTTAATTTTTAAGATGGTTGGAAAAAGATGGCGTCGTGAGTGGTTGTGTGTTCATCCGTTCTCCCATTAAACCCCGGTTATCTCGGATTATAACGTGTTATAAATTCAGTGCATGGTGTGTCTATGATCGCAAAAAATTGCTGATCATCTACAAGTAATAAATTGAGCCTCCAAGAGTGTTTTAAGTGTTTTTTTTTAACAGTAAAACCGAGCACGTTACTCGGCATCTTCTGATATTGTGTCCTTGAACTGACTTCAGCAATTTAACAAATGGAGGACGACACCAGTGGCTCTGTCTTTACAGTTGAACAAAGCCTTACACAGAGCACCGCAAGAGGGCACGACATACGCTTAATAAAAGTCACCACCGATTCACATGACACAGATAACATCATGTCAAGCATGAACAACAACATCAACAACACCAAACCCCAAAACGGCAAAGGTCGCCCAAAAATCTCCGATAGCTGGGACAAAGTTAAACAGAGCTATCCGATAGCTGCCTCGTCGATAGCTCTCTTAAATAACAAATGAAACCGTGAGTCTCTGAACTCACAGGAGGAATCCTCCGAACACCCCGCGAAACGCATCACTCTGGACTCATTATCTATCACCCTACTCCAAGAAAACATCACCAAAGCATTGACTACAGAACTACAGAGGCTGATTGAACATAAACTCTCCTTCATTGACGACCTCTGAGAGGAAATCAAGGATATAAAAGAAATAAATGAGAACGCCTTCAAGAAAATAGATAATGAACTATCACAGAGAGATGCACAGTATTCGGACAAGTTCAAAGATTTTGAACAAAGGTTTGCTCGACTCGAGGCCAAGCTAGACGAAGCAAACAATGCATCCACCGTGAACCTCTCCACAGCAGATCAAAGCTGCCCTACCACAACTCCTCAAGAACCCCACCCAGATCTGAAACAGTACATAAACCAAATAACTGACAAGTTGGATGGTCTTGACAAACAGCTTCGTCAATCGAACATTATTATAAAAGGATTTAATACAACTGACACGCCTCACTATAAATTGAAAGATATGGTTGATAAATTCCTATCGGACAATTTGGGTGTCTTGAGCTGCGTTGAGAGCGCACAGATTATAGGCAGAAGCGGCAATGTAATCAAAGCCAAAATTACAACTATGGTATACAGGGATACAATTATGAGAAAGCAAAAAACCTTGGGTCCCAAAAGAATATACATCGAGGACGACCGTACCCCAGAGGAACGGAAAATCTATCACGCCCTGAGAATCAGAGCCAAACAACTCAGGGGACAGGGACACAAGGTTAAGTTGGACAATAGTCAACTGATGGTGGATGGCGTTTGGCAGGACGTGGATATCGAGCAACTCCCCAGCCCTAATAGATCTGACCTGGAGAATTCTACAAGCACCTCCCTAGTAACTGGCTTTATTATCTACAAAACGCTCTTCAATAAAGATCTAGACAGTGAATGCATACCCAAAGACTGGGCCCATGTTGCCCTAGTCATGCTCCACAAGAAAGGCGACAAACTAAATCCTGCAAACTACAGAGGACTAGCTATGGTAAACCTAATCACGAAGATCTTCACCATGACGATAAAACACAGACTCGAACACTGGGTAACCAGAAACAACATCCTTCCTGAGGAACAAGCTGGCTTTACAGCCAACAAAAGCTGTCTTCATAACATTTTCGTCCTTCAAACAGTGATTCATTTAAAATTAAAAAACAGGAGAGGTAAGGCGTATGGACTCTTCATTGATTTTGGACGAGCCTTCGACTCGGTACCTCATCTGTTACTCTGGAACAAGCTCCATGATTTAGGTATCAGCCCCAAAATAATACGATTGCTCAAGAATCTCTACGCCCAAGCAATTTTGCAAATAAAATCAACCGACCAACTGTCTAGCAAATTTGAGGTTACGGAGAGAGTCCTTCAGGGGGAGATACTCAGTCCGCTACTATTCATCCTGTTCTTGCATGACATCGTAACGTTCTTCAGAGATAAAGGCGCCAAGGGGTTTAGGATAAACAATCTACACGACATAATCCTACTGCTATACGCTGATGATCTCGTGATAATGGCTGACTCAACCGCTGACTTAAACAAGAAGTTGATCATACTCAGAGAATATTGCAGTCAAAATAAATTAATCGTAAACATTGACAAAACGAGAGTCCTGCACTTCAAGAGGGCTGGCAAGGGTGACAGTACCAGACTCTACTACGACAAAGAACTCATCGAATGGTCCAATGAATACGAATATCTTGGAGTTCCCTTTTCCACCTCAGCGCTAGGCCTGGTTGCTACCAACGCAGCCTCACGCAAAGCCAAATTGGCCATGGGCGCCGTATTATCGACCCTGGCAAGAATAGGTGCCGACTCCTGGGACGGCATACTACAGATATACAGAAGCTGTGTACTGAGTTCGCTCCTCTATGCTGCTCAACTCTGGGGCCTCAGATATTTAGATAAACTGGAGCAAATACAGCTGTGCTTCTTCAAACGTTTACTAGCTCTGGTACCTGGTGCACCCAACGCTGAGCTCAGGTTGGAATTGAACATAAGTATCATCAAACTTGAAGTGCTAAAACCATCTTTAAACTGGGTCTGCAAAATCCTCGACATGGAAGACCACCGTTTGCCTAAACTCTGCTTCTTACGCACATTACAACTATCGAGAGTTCAACCGGCGGACACTAAATATAACTGGGTTGTGCAACTTAAGAATCTACTCCAACTTGGCCAGGCACCGTGCTCTCTATGGACAAATCTGACTTCTGCACACTGGAAAGCACAGATCCCCGCAATCTTCAGGAATGCTGAATTCAACCTCAAACTGACGGACCTTAACAGTGTCCTCGACAATCACAGCAGCCAGATTCCCCTCTGGAACGGACCCCAACGTGCCTCACCTAGTTATCTCCGAAATAATCCACTATATCTCTCCAGGACATTCGCACAGCTCAGACTAGCGAACAAGCATTACGTGGCCCTCAGCTGTAACAGAAACAGAGTCTACATAGATCCCACTGTTATTTGCACCATCTGCAATCTCAACGAGCTTGAGGACTTGGAGCACATATTCCTGAGGTGTCCCATCTATCAACCATACAGAGATCACTTCTAAGCCCCTCTCTTGGACCCCTATAATAACGACCCTAGCAGCGACAAAAAAACATTAAAACTTAATTGCTGGTTTTAATTTGCCATATTTGTATATAAAATGACATCAGCTACTTTGCCAAATTATTATAGACTTTAATTCTATAGAAAACACACCTATCGTTACACACACTTGTATAAACACATAATCAAATGTAAATGTATGTAAATTTTTAGCTACAGGTAATTACCTTGAAAGCTTTATATTAAATAAAAATTTTTAATTTTTAAATATTAACTACAAGATGGCAAAATAAATAATAATAATCAACAAGATGACAAATATAGTAGTAATACCTATAATAATAATATTATACTCCTGGAAATTTTTACGGTCAAAACAGACCTGCGTACGCCTGATTCAACCGTACTTATTCTCCGATACCGTCTTGTACGGTCAAAACAGGCTTGATTTTTAGCGGCATATTAGACTTCAAAGAGTTGGGACATATCTATGGTTAAAACGGGACTCGAATTTTGACTCGGACAGATTAAAGTTGATCTAATGTCAATATATTTAGACAAAATGCAAATCTGTTCACATCCGATGTTCTTGATTAGATTTGATTAAAGCAGAACTCAATTTTTTCACCCGAATTTCCATATACATGCGTAAGGTTATTGTTTTCATCAAACATACTTTTTCTGAAAAATTTAAATAATATGTGAGCTTAATTACGCATAGATGCATTACAATTATCTTTTTATCGATGCCGAATTACTTTGACAATACTGAAATTAATGTTCATTGTTATAGTATAGCTGGAAGTGGAGTGCGAATTTCAAGGAAGCTGTACAGACTAGTCACGAGTAACTTTTTTTCTTACTATTCATTTATTTATATTAGCACACACACACACACACACACACATGCGCGCGCGCGCGCGCGTATGTATGATATACATATTAGGGTGACCTATTTTTTGAATAATGGATTTTTAATATTTCAAATTGATTAGTTTTGCCCATTTTAATAGTTTCCATTTCATTTGAGATCAATTGAGAATTTTTGAGACTCCCTGTTTAAAATACTTTATTTAAGACAGAATTCATATTACAAGGGTAGTCAGTAGTAACATTGAAAAAATATCTTGATATTACTTTAATATGATTTGAAAAATAATTGTATGAATATAAATAAGGAAAAAAAATGTTAGAATATTAGAAAACTACTTCAAAATAGAATCATCGTCTACTTAGTCATCATTTTTACGATCAAGATTATTTTTCTTTCAAATACTCATAACAACAAAAAATGCAGCAATCAAGTAAAAAAATCCTAATAAATCCACGCATATATTCACTCGGCGTGAATTTGTCAAGGTTTTTTTAAGTAGCAATAATCAACTTTTTTTTTTTTATTTTCTCGCTATGAAAATCAATCATTTTCAAGAAATTGGAAAGTTAGTGGTTTCACTTCAGTTTTCGAAAATCGAGTTTTTGTCAAATCTCCACGTTTTAAGGTCTCATAAAGCTATTCTGACTATTCCTGCGGGGATGTGTGTGTGTGTGTGTGTGTTTGTGTGTGTGTGTGTGTGTTTTTTTTTTTTTCCTTTAGGGGGGGGGAATCCTTTTTACGGATTCTAGGCATAGTTGTTGGCCTGGATATGTGGCGACTCGACGCAGCGACATACTAAAACTCGACGCTAACGCCCCTACCCACTAAACCCTAAACCCCTTTCCTCTTTCCTCTAATCCCTCAAGGAAACCGCCGTCAGGCATTACTTCGTGAGGGGAGGATCTAGCTACTGCTCTTCCTTCTGGTGGCTAAGGTGTTAACTACCTTCCTTCTATCTTCCGCTATTTGCTCTTCTTCTTTCGGTGGAACGCAAGTCTTTGAGGACTTCTGTTGCAAACGTGTTGGTAGCGTTCCAGGCAGCTTCTGATGACAACATTGCTTCAACTAGTGAATCTGGTTGCAATCTCTGGTACAGGATCCTCTCCAGCTCTTCACGCTGTGAGTCGAAACGAGGACATACAAAGAAGACCTGCTCCGCATCTTCAGCAACTCCTTGGCAGGTCGGGCACACTGAAGAGTCATCGTGCTTGAAGCGGGGTAGATACTCTCGGAAACACCCATGTCCCGACAACATCTGCAACATAAGATAGTAATTGACCTCACCGTGATTACGGTTAAGCCAAATGTCGATCTTCGGTATCAGACGGTGTGTCCATCTTCCTGTTGTCGCGGCATCCCACTGCGATTGCCATCGTGCAATGCTGTTTTGCCGCTCTTCAGCTCTGAGTTCCTCGGCACTTAATGTGGTTGACCTCTTTCGTTGGTAAAGGTTCCGTCTTTCCTCAGCTAGAACTATGAGCGGTAGAGTTCCGGAAATGATACACACTGCTACTTCTGATATCGTGCGGAATGCACTGGCCAGTCTTACAGCGCTCAGTCTATATACTGGTCCTGCTTTTCTCCATGATTCTTGCAACATCAGCGCGTCTGCCCAAATAGATACTAGGTCAGTTAGTGTGACCAACCCATTAAAGGGGAGTTTTGTCCACGGGAGCGTATTTT